TCAGTGCACACTGTTTAGAAATAGAAAAAGGTCGTCATAATAATGTACCAGCCACTCACAGACGCTGTCCTACTTGCAAACATACCAATGAAGAACATTTTATGTTAACATGTCCTACCTACACTGAAGAAAGAAAAACACTTATGAACGCGATTAGCAACTATACAAATATAACATTACCTCAAACAATCTCAGATACTTTTACCTTATTTATGTCATGTCCCGATGCAATATCTCTATACATAGGCCAATATATATCTAATGCTTTATCCAAAAGAAATCATGTTATATCCGACCCAAACAACTGATCCCTATTACATGTATCATGTATTCCATATCCTACACCATACTGAATCAGATACACAAAATAGCCTAGTAATTAGTCTGCAGTTTTAGAGATCTCCTGTACATTTTCATGTAAGCATTGTTCCATGTATATTACAATGTATATCACTTTTTTCTTTTTCTTTTAAGATAGTGTAGTATTAGACAAGTTTTGAAATACATAACTTATAAGTGTTAGATAGATATAAGTAATAGTGTGGATAGCGACTTAGTATGTCGTTCATGTGAAAAAGTTGCCATACATTGTACCTGCTACAATTGTCGTGCAATAAAATTTGATTTGTGAAAATTGTAATAAGGACATTAATTAGCGCAGGCCAAGAACAAGGTTACAAGAACTATAGAGTGTAGTGAAGAGGGCCTGCATGGGGGTAGTGATTACGAATTATGCAAAATTTTCGCCTCCAATATTACGAATTACGTTAAGTAATAAAGTCTCAGAACTTATAATGAATTTACGCTTTGCAGCTACTGTTCTATTACGGATTACGTTGATTTTTGGGAGGTTGTCTACGTATTATGAAGACTGAAAAGGCCTGATACGCCTTACGAAAAACGGCATGCAGGCCCCAAGAAAAGTCCCACCATTCCTCGCGCGAACGATAACATCCGGTTCGATCTGAAGTTGTTACCTGTTGAAGGCTGTACCGGGGTACTAGTATTTACCTTATTTGCGGTAAGTGATTACTACATGAAAATGCCTTAAACTCAACATAGTGGTTGTAAACGTGAGCCTTCGGTTTGTCGGTTTACTGATAAAATAGAGGATTTTGGCCAGTGTTTTTCTTTGTTTTTGGACGATGTGGGGGAGGGGGGCGATCGCTCTCTAGGGAAACGGGGCCGGGAATTTTGGCTACTAGTATTAATATGGGTCCAACACAACCTTATAGTTGTAAATGTGGGGCTTTGGTTTGCCGATTCACGGATTATGTTACTTTATTTGAACTTTCTTGACTGGATTTTGAAGTGGTGATAAAAAATCTCGTAAATCTGGCGGCAGTGTTTCCGCCAGAGGGCCGTCCACCCGTCATATGACGGCCTGGTGTCGTTTTGGACGGCCTGAACTCGGACAGAGGCCGTCCTCTTAATTTACTTAAAAAATTTCGAGACTCGGAAAAATCAGAGAAACTGACAGTCTTTGTTTTGTTGCTGTAGACGGGACGCCGTCCAAGGCAAGAAAGACACACGTTGTTTGTTTTGGTATTGTTATCATGCTGACGAACAATGTATGTCGGCGCCTTTCGCATACGTTAATCTCATTAAAACCCGTTTTTCAAGTCTCCATCCGGTAAAATGTATCCACAAACATTTTTCCTCGAACAAAATCATTTCGGATGTGAAAATGGGAGTTACGTTTTTGTTTTTGATGGTCTTGTAGCGGGCGGGTTGCATGAAAATCCACGCCGCTAGCTATCCGACTCGCTATCCACGCCGCGGTTCGATAACACTTCCGGCTTGCTTGAATACGCAAAAGGCACCACAAATCGGCATATGGATGCATACATTTTCCCAAAAATTCTTCATAATGAATTTCTTTAATGGAATGTTACTAATTAGCGGTAGAAACACCGTAGAAAGTAGCGTAGTGTAACTCTCCTCGCCAACAAACAAATTCTACAGCTATGCCGGCAAAGATGGCTCTATCCAATCAGAGCGCAGGTCATATGAGGTCAACCAATCAGAGCGTAGAGTTCACGCTGCTACTTACATATTAATGACAAAATGGCGCGTATTTCCTTCTCCGGCGAGGTTGAGAATGTGCGCTGCAAGTTTATTTTTCCGGCAATTTTCTGACTTTTAACGCCGATTTTTCGCACGCTACGATCACGCTACCATTTGACACTGTACTGGAGACAACAGATGAGTGATCATTTTACAATCAAGGAGCATTTTTGTTGAATGAAACAGCAATGAAAGCTACGATACAGCCTTATTATTTTTCAAAATTTGTCTCGTGTATGAGAGATAAGATGACGTTTCTTTACATGTTTTGATATATTTTTGGCTTGATATTAACTAGTAATTCGTAGCGGAAATGTACGGAAGAAGCACGAGTACGAACGAAGCAAGGCTCTTCACTATTAAAAATCCGGCTAGCGCGGGCGCTACCGGAGGTTATGATGCCGATGTTTGGAGTTTTGCAGCAGAGTTTTGCAACAGTATAATTTCCTGACGATACGTTTGCCATCTGTAATAGTGTTTTTATCTCAATACAAAAAAATGTGGAATGCTTGTGGACAGTTTCAACTTGTAAACAAGTGTAAACAAATGCCCCGCCCCCTCAGTTAATTTTCGCGACGTGTTCCCTAAGTTAATTAATTTTCGCGACCCGGCCCTTCCCAACTGGACGGCCTCTCAGCTGCAGTCTGGCGGAAACACTGTCTGGCGGTGTGCTTTCTTTACTATAAGAATCTTACAAACCTGCATGGCTCCTGAATTTTATTCGCGTCATAAGTGTATGTATTCCTACGTTTTTTATAAGGTAAAAGGATCTCTGGTCAGACAAAATTAACACATACCTGTAATTTCTGGTATTTTAAACGTTTCAGAAATGCCTAGGCGTAAGAAGAAAAAATTGACTGAGAGGTTGAGTGCATGGAAGGAAGAGCAAAAAACGGAGAAGCAACCCAGCCAGCAGGATGACAAGCAAGCAGAGGTAGAGTCAGTACGGGAAGTAGAGTCAGGAGTACAGGAGCCAGCTGAAATGCTCATGGAGGTGGAGGTAAGTGGGGAGGAGCCAGTTGATGACCAGGATGTACAGGAAACAGGGGCCTGGGATAGTGAAGGAGGTTTCATTTTGACCCTTTTACGCGGGAAGATCAATCGAATGTGGCCAGCATGGTAAACAGGTATGCCCAAATGAAAAT